AAAGCGCGCATGAGATGACGAGGATGCTGGGATGCTGGGATGCTGGGATGCTGGGATGCTGGGATGCCGGGATTCGTGGCATAGGAACGAGACGTGCGTTTTCGCTGGGATTTTCCATCAAGTCCATGAGTCACCTACCTTGTGCTTATCGACGTGCACTGGCCTCAAATGGGGATCGAAGAGCAGCTTGTCGGGTTCGATGTTTATGGGACTCTGTCTTCTACCCTTGCTGCATAAGGACCACTGCGGATTGATCAAACCCCAGAAAGATGATCCTGGAACATGCGTGTTGTCACATTCAGTCTTTGTCGTCTCTTAAACGGTATGCCTATCAATTCTCAAAACCTCTCTACGCGTTCCACGCTGACCCACCCCCATCCCACCCCTACGCGCACGCACGCGTAACTCCTGGGGAAGAAAGTTTTATCTTTTTCTCGTGGCCTCGGATGATCATTTGCCACCGAGTTCGCCACTCATCAGCGCCTTTCCCGTTCGAAAAATTTCGAGGGAAAGTTTACCGCAACGCTGCTAATTCCCTCGACACGAAAGTCGACGACGCGAAGTCGCGCAAAGAGGAAGAGGAAACTTTCAAAGATATATCTCCAGACTGTTTCTCCCATCAGCTCCTATGTCCCTCCTCCGTCGTGGTATCAAATATCAGTTTTCCCTGGAATATGAAATTTTTATAATTCCAACTTTCCGACAGTACAAGGCCGCTCCATTCGCCGGAGGGTTGGATACGGGAGCCAGTTCTTCAGATCCGCACCTCTGCAACTTTTATTCCTCGAAAAGAATTTGAAACTCGTTCCTTCTCTCGATCACACCAGGGACTTTCCATTCTCTCCTTGGCTATCGACTCTCGCGGAGCTGAAGCCGCCCAGCACGGATGAGTCCGGCGGTTCAGCAGTTTCCTAACCTAAACTAACCTAACCCTAACGGCCACAGCCTCCTCTGAGAAATTTAAGTTTCCTGTCGAGCAGCAGCGAATTGCAGTAGCCAATTATTCGGGCATCGTACTTGGGACTTGAAACTTCAACTTGATCGAAAGTAGACGATGACCGATTGCCGGACGTCTGTAGTAATAAGCTACGAATCCACCGAATAGCGTAATACGTGCGGTACACACACACACACACTCTCTCTCTCTCTCTCTCTCTCTCTCTCTCTCTCTCTCTCTCTCTCTCTCTCTCTCGCTCTATAAACCGAATGGACGCGGTTCAGTCTGTCGGGGCGATACGGGAAAGTCCTGGGACGAGACCAGACGCAAGTGATCGAATAGCGGAACGGAGGACGAAGGGAAGAAGCCAAGAAGTAAGACCTTCAGACCTATACCTCTATTCGGATAACTCCTGGAGTAATGCTAGCCAGGCACGCGATCATAATTAAAAAAGATAATCAGCCGAAAGAGAGCGCGAACGAGCGAGTCCTGATCCTCGTGCTCGCGCCGCTGCGCTCGTCCTGGCGACTCGTCGCAAAAGTGTCCCTCGACAAATTCATCCCTGTGGCTGCCACCGGCAATCTCACATAATTGCATAATTAGAGGAGCATCCTGACAGCCCAGCTAGACACAGCTAATGGAATAATGTGGGCAGATGGAGTGATTACTTTCTTATCGCCGGGAGCCAGGGTAGATAGAGAGAGAGAGAGAGAGAGAGAGAGAGAGAGAGAGAGAGAGTATTATAGCATTCATGACGTACCTTAGTGCGCAGAGAGAGTTCGGTGGCGGAACTCGGGACTTGGTTGCCGAGATCTGGAGGCGGGAAGGAGGGGAACTCTAACAACCCTATTATTGAAACTTCAAGCAGGGAGCAATCATTCTGCAATTAGCAGAAGTGATTAAGTGTAGAAGTCAGGAGCCCGACTCACATGCGCGCTCGCGCACCCCCCCCCCCCCCCCCCC